AAAAAAAAAAAAAGATGAGCCCAAAAAAGTCATGGGGCAGACGGCTGACGGTTCCAAACGAGCTTAATTTCTGTGTCACACGGACGTGGGGAAGGTTGTGATCAGACTGAAATAAATAACTAAAGCACAGCTTTCTGAGGACAGCCTCGGGAAGGCAAGAGTTAACCCTTTCCTCTTGTCCATTAACATTTTATGACACATTTCTGCCCAGAGAACAATTCTAAGTATGGAAAGAAGCACCAAGAAAACAAATAACTTTTCAAGAGAGCGCCTCATACTATATATTTTTTTAAAACCCTCCAAATTACAGCATGCGGCCAAGAGTGCGCTTTCTTAATGAGAGGACTTGTGCTTCCCTTGGCGAAATATCCACAATACAGAACCTTCCCGTTCGGGTCCTGGTGAGCATCACCCGCTGTGTCGCCGTGACTGCCGCTCGGGCGACCGCGAGCCGGTGTCTCGGTGTCGTCTCTGCGCCCCGCTTCACCCGCTCCGCTTGGGCCGCTCGGTGCCGAGACCGTTTCACTCCTTACGCTCGACGGGCTCCCTCCTCGTAACCCTTCCTCATATCTGTTGTCCACTCGGGTCAGAACCGTCTTCTTTTTCTTTCCCTTTTTATTTGCATTTTCACTTCCAATTCTGCTTCCTCAGGGAGCCCAACCTCCAGCCCCGAGACCGGGACACACGCCTCAGCTGTGGCCCCGTGGCTGGCAGGTCGCACGGTGGTTGATGCTGAGTGTAGTGACCGAATGACAGCAGTGGCTGGGGCCAGGCGAGTGGGCGTCCCTTCCCCCGCCACTCTCCACGGCGCCTGGCGCACACGAGGCCTTCCGTTAACATCTGGTACCTTACGAAGCTGCCCGAGCCAGATGCCCAGGGGTGTGTACACTCTGTAAGTCTTAAAAACTTGGTAGACAAATGTTCTCTAAATACGGAAAGCATGAGGGCCTGCCGCTAAGAAAGGAACCTACTCCCAGCCGCTCAGATGGTGCCCAGAAATGTTCCGGTGATGCCCCTTGGAGCCCATGCTTCAGACACGGGCACGGGAAACCAGTCAAATGATTTCAGACGTTACTGCCTAATTCGAGGTGTGCTTTGCATTCTTGAAGAAACTGAGATCACCTGAAAGTCTCCTTCTGAAACCTATAACCCGACTTTAAAGACTTCTAGCGAAAATGCCTTCCCATGGGCACTGTTACTCTTTAAGGGAAATATTGGTTACGGGTCGGCATTCACACGACGGGAGACCCCCCCCTTCACCCAGGATGTTTTCTGATTTGTAATGTTCCTCTGGTCTTAAAAAACTGCCAGTGGGAAGCAAGTGCAAAATATTTATGTAATTAGGACAGTTCAACATTTTCAAAAATGGCAAAAATAAACAGCGGCTACGGAGCACCTGCTTAAAAGATACTGGAAATAACTGCTTCGTGCTTCATTAACCAGTATAAACACATTTGCCAGTTTAAATCCCCTGCTGAATTCAGAATCTCCAATTAGAACCAGGATGGATTTAAACTGCCAACGGTGGAAATTCCCAAGTAAAAAATTTCAGAATTGCCTTTCTTAAGGGCACGTTTATGGGTCCAACAGATGCCTGTGTTCTAAAGAAGATGCCTGTGTTCTAATTTGTTTATTAAAACCAAATCTGTATCTATTTTATTGGATAATTTTAGACTACCTATTGGCAGATTTTATTCATCTGAGTAGCATTCCGCACAGGGCCTGGTGCATGGCTGGTTCGAGGACCAGGTGGGCGAGGGGAAGAAGGGCAGAGAGGCGAGGGAACTAGGCAAGGGCTCGCGGGAAATTTCTCTGGGACCTCGAAGGCACCCGCCCCACAAGCCCGGTGTGGATATGCAGAGAGACAAGCCGGCGGTTTCTGAACCAAACCAAAACAGAAAACTGTGACGCTGAAGTAAAAGAGATTTTTTAAAATCAAAGAAAATAAAAATAAAGAAAGAAAACCTTTGTATCTGGTGGTCAGAGAGGTGGCTGAAAATGTGCCTCTGTGTGGTCTTTGGAAATGATGTAAGATGCCTGGGCCCAAATGTGGCGACCCTTACAATCCAGTTTCCTCACCTCGTATGGATCTAGTTTAACATGACCTCGTTTGTCTTTTCTAAGGAGGCCAAGGGATATGCCGGGAACAACACGACACAGTCGTGTGACCTGCATTCTAGATCTGGCTGCAACACTAAGCAGTTTTAAGGAGCTTAATCATTTAACATTTTCAGCATGGTCTCCCTCATCCGTGAAGCGAGAAAACAAACCTGAATTGTCCGTTTCATCATGGTAAGAACCAAAGGCAAAGGTCCTCTGGAAACTGCACCGCACCAGACAAGAAAGTATGGAATCCTTAGGTCTGGTGTAGAAGAACACGTAAGGGTCACCTTCACTCGTGTGTTCATTCAACGGATCCTTAGGGGGCACCAACTGTTCTGGAGTCTGGGGACACAGCTAATGAAACAAAACGCAACAAGCCCTGCCCCCCGGACTTTACATTCTAGTGGAAAAAGACAGACGGTAAACAAAGCAGTGAGTGAAACACAGAGTATGTCAGTGACGAGCACTGTGAAGGAAAATTAAGCAGGGATGTCTACGGAGAGGCGGGGGGCTGGTCAGTTTATACGGGGCGGCTGGAGAAGGCCCTGCTGAGCCGACTGCTGCACAAAGGAGCTGTGCAGACTCGGAGTGAGCTGGGGAATCCCTGAGACAGTCTGAGCACAGGGGCTTGGAAAGGATTCCTCAGATGTATTACCGAGAAGAGATTCTATGACCAGATTGACCATTAAAGTGCCTCTGTTATTAAAAAAAAAAAAAAGGAAAGACTTAGGGTTAGGGTTAAGGTTAGGGTTAGGGTTAGGGTTAGGGTTAGGGTTAGGGTTAGGGAAAATTAAAATTAAAAAAATAAAATAGATAAATAAATAAAAAGGGAAGGCTCTACCAGGAAAGGGCAGAAGCATGGAACCCATTTCGAGGCTATTAAAATGATCCAGGTAAGAAATAGTGGTGATGACTTAGAAGCTTGTCATGGTGAAGACGGTAACAAGTAATGATTCTGGATACATCTGAAGTTATAGCCAAAAGGATCTCCCAATTAGGTAGGGAAGGTGAGAGAAATAACAAAATCGAGGACTCTAACATTTTGCCATCAGTGAAAGAATGGATGGTGATGGCCTCAAGAAGAATAGGTTTCGAGGTAAAATCACAAATTTGGATATTAGACACATTAACTTTAAGATGTCCCTTAGACATATAAGTGCACATAACCATCATTAAATACAATGATGTTTCATGCTTTTTTATGCATATAGATTGCATTTATCCAGATTGTTAATTATTTCCAAAATAATTTCAACAGTTGCCTAATTTACCACTGAATGGATTTTCCCTAATTTACTAAATGTACAAAGGAAGCAAGAAGTAGATAAAAATAAATTGAAACCATTGTATCAGACAGTATACACAAAATTCCAAAAGAACTAATTAAATAAATTATTACGATTAATTGTCTCACTAATTAATTTGAGGAAATTAACGTGGGGGAAATTAATTTTGGGAAATCAGGTTGAAATAAAATTGCTTTACAAATTTAAAGATTCATACCCCCTAAGATAGCATTTTAAATGTTTCTTTCCAGGTTGTACTTAATCCCAATTGATGGTTTCACAGTCCCAGACCTGTAATCACCTCATAGGCCGGTTAAATAATGCTCTCAGAGTGAGTAATCTCAGAGGTCTCTGCTCCTGCCCCTCACCTGGATGTATTATTACATGTACATATTGAATACCTCATGCTCATATATTCCCCCAAAGTGCACTTTGCCACAGTTTCTACATCCCAGTTATTCTTCAGTTAAATTCCATCTGTAATGGAAACTCTCCTGTACCACTGTGTCATTACCCAAAACTATTTTAAGAGAAATTTTACAGATTTTTAGGAAAAGAAATATGGGCACCAAACTAAATTTATAGGATGTTTAACTGTTTCAATAGATTTTTTTTAAGCAGTAAAATTAAGCACACTTTGAGATGATTCTAACATAAAATATTTAAAATGAAAAAATCACAGCTCTACTTGATGCATACTTAAGTGTATTTCTAAGACCATGTAAAGTCCTGTTTTACAACGTGTAGAATGAGATCATTTTTCAGCATGAAATGTATCCGTGGTACTTACAAAGCAGTTCTTATCGGGATTTCTTTTCCAATGTTTCTTGTCTAATTTCTTGGCCGAAGTTGAACGCAGAGTTGCATGAGTTTGTGTTCGAGGATTTAAAGCCAGGATACTCTGAAGACAATATAAACAATGTATAAACATAGGTAAATATGTTGGCATTAAAAAATAAATCAAAATTTTATTTTAACATCCCCCCCACCCAAAGACAGACATATTCTATAAATGGTGCTTCCCCTTCTACTACTATAATTCTGTAATAAACTTATCACAAAGAATCATTTATTAGATGATGTCCTAGCTGAGGAAAAATGGCAATGACTAAAATGAAAATTTTGTTAGAGGGGCTCAATAGTAGGTCTGAACTGGCAGAAGAAAGAATCAGCGAACTTAAAGAGAGATCAAAAGACATTATGCAAGCCGATGAACTGAGAGGAAAGAAGAATGAAAGAAATGAACAGAGCCTTAGCGATTTGTGGCACGCTATTAAATACACCATAATACTGTAATGGGAGTACCAGGAGAGGAAAGAAAGGAGGCAAACAAAAATTAATAATGGCTGAAAACTTCCCAAATTTGATTTTAAAAACAGAGAAAACATTACACTGTCCATCCAGAATCTCAACACGTGTGAAATAGGATCAATGCAAAGAGATCCACACATAGACACGGTAGTGAAAATGCTAAAAGTCAACACCAAAAAGAAAGACTTGGAAGCAGCGAGAGGAAAACAAATGACTCATCAGGTACAGAACTGCAGTAAGTGTAACAGTCGACTTCTCATCCGGAACAACTGCTGTCAGAAAGTAGTTAGATGACATTTTCAAAGTACTAAAAGAAAAAAACTGTCAACCAAGAATCCAATGCTCGAAGCAGAAGAACAAAGAGAAAACAGACTTGAACAACACGTGCACTGTCTGAACTAACAGGATCTATAGCACGCTCCACCCAACAGCTTCAGGATACATTCCTCTCAAGTGCACACAGAGCATTCTCTAAGACAGACCCTATACAAGGCCACAGAACAAGCCTCAATGAATTAAGAGAGTTAAAGTCACACAAAGTAGTTCTCCAAATGCGATGCAATGGAGTTAGATATCAAGAAAGGAAAGAAATTTGGGAAATTTACAAAGAAAAAAGATAAATATGGTAAACATTATGCTGTCTGAGAGAAGCCAGTTATAAAATACCACATATTGTATGATGCCATTTATATAAAATGTCTAGAAAAGGCAGATCTGTAGAGGGAGAAAGTAGATTGTGGTTGCCAGGGGCTGGAGAATTAGGGAAAAATGGGGAGTGCCTGCTAAAGTGTGTGTGGTTTGGCCCTGGCCGGTGCGGCTCAGTCAGCTGGGCACCATCCTGTGCACCAGGAGGGCACCAGTTGGATTCCTGGTTGGGGCCCATACCAGGGTTGTGGGATCGATCCCCAGCAGGGGCCATGCAGGAGGAGGCCGATAGATGTTTCTCTCTCTCTTTCCATCTCCCTTCCTCTCTCTCTAAAATCACTGAGAGCATTAAAAAAAAATAAAGGGTATGTGATTTCTTTCTGAGGTCATAAAAATTGATTGTGGTGATGATAGCACAACTCTATGAAGACATTAAAAGCTTTTGAATTCTACATTTCACATGGGTAAATTATGTGGCATGTAGATTATTTTTCAATAAAGCTGTTACCAAAAACAATCATCACTAAAGTCTACATTCAGTGGATTTCACTGTATACTGTACTCTAAGGAACATCACTGGGACTTATTTTACTAGCCCAATATAAATGATTATTATTTACAGTAATTCCTAAATATGATGGACATGATATTTCTTCAATCTATCTCTTTAGATGTCTATGTCCTCTGGACGACAAACATACAGTAAAGTTAGAGGTTTTAAATGGTTTATTCTTTATGATAAAATAATGCCAAAGCAACCTATTAATTAATAAGAGTCAATATTAAAATATAATTAATAGCATTTTTATACAAAAAAATTGAAAACATTTTCATATTATAAAATAAATGTGGGTGGGTTTTTTTTGTCTAGTTATTTAACCTTGAACCATTACTAATCTCATATTAATCCAAACTGATAAATAAAAAGGTGACATTTTTTAAAGGTAGTTATTGTGGTCAGCATTTAAAGATGAAGGGAGGGAAGGAGGGAGGGAGAAGTCTGGGTAACATGCAAGAAACACGGCTGCATTTATTTTAGTTTTTAGTTCCACAATCCCTATTGTGATAAATGATTATGTTTATCTATTTCGGCAGAGTAATGTAAGTTTTGAGAAGAAACATTCTGAATACAATTTATTGGCTGCTTATCACAGTGACTTTTCCTTTACGTAGCATAAGTAGAAAGCATAACATGAAATATTGGGTTAACCTTTTGCGAAAAGGCAGTGACTTGAATTCAATGGATCTCGGGTAAAAATAAATTGAATTGTGGAGAACAGTTACCAAGGATTTGACTTAATAATATCCCAAATGAAAAGTGAGATAAAATAAAAACACAGGACATGAGTGGTTGAGAGCTGTTAAAAACAATTTTCCAAAGCAAGACTTTTTAAAACTAAAAGTCAATATCATCAATAACCAAGCAGCTGGCAGAACGAGGCAGGAGAGCTCTAAATTACATTCTCCCCGAGAAAAGACCAGAGCCGGGTCCGGGCAGGGCCACGGGGTCCCCTCGCTGGATAAATCGAGCACGTTAAGAGGCCCGTTAACCCCTTCTGATCAGAGGTGTATCACTTACAGAGGGAGCGTTTTCTCCCATACAAAGGATGTGTCTTTCCCAATCACTTTCAGTCACACAGTAAAAAAAAGTACAGTTGATTCATCCTAGAGGCAGAAGAACGGGATTTGAGAAAATTTCACTGCACTACCTTGTTTTCGTTTAAGAAATGACAGGATGTGATCCAGGAACATTTATGAAAGAGATCGAGTAAAGGTTCTGTGCTGTCGTCACTGTCAACACCGTTCTAGGAAGTGGCGGGAATGTCGCAATGTCCTGAGAATCCTGCATCCGCCGGCGTTTCTGCGCTAAGCGGGCACGAGGGGCCCCCGCCGACGCCGTCGCAGGCCCTTGCTCAAACCACAGCAGCACCGTGCTGCCTGAAGTCGCGGAACCGCAGCGGCTGAGAGCTTGAGCTCCTCCCGCAGGATGTCCCCCCGAACACACGGCTTTGTCTTCTACCACAACACTGAGGGTTCCGACATAACCAGCCCTTTAAGGCCCCTTCACCCCTCGCCTTTACGGTTATAATCAAAGGTTCCCCCTTCAGTACTGGTCATTACTCACGGTAACCCCGAGCCCTTAAAACGATACCCGTATACTGACATTTTAGATTTACAAGCTGAACTTGATGAGCTACATTGTGTCTTGTTTAAATGACCCCTAATTTTGCCTTTGATGGCTAATGCTGAGTCCGCTGTCAGTCATCTCCTCCTTTCCAAGGCATCAAGTGAAAAAATATAATAACAACAATAAAAACCAGGCTTTTCTCACGTTTTGATAATTGGGCCTAAGTACTTAGATTATGATAAAACGTATCATGCTGCCATTTTTCCCTCAATAAACATGCTCAGCTACAAGGAAAACAGAAACGCCTACTGTGTCATGCACTCGATCAATATTCGTTGCTTCATCCAGGCAACAATGTAACAAGTGTTGATCCATAGAAAACCAAACGTGCTCAACAGCCTCATGCTTAGGGGCCCAGCCTCAGGCAGTTACCCCGCCCTGTCCATCGCTGGCCATGGGGTAGGGTGAATTTGGGGACGTATCTTAGGGATCCACCAGAGCACCTGGGTTCCCAGATAAGCTCATCACTGACGGGGTCAGGCTCCAGCTGGGCCAGCTGCAGAAGGGGGAACAATTTTGCACCCCAGGCCCACACCTGAGTTATAAACAACCTCAAACCCGAACGTCTTAAAAATCCACGCCAGGCAGTCCTGGTAAGAGACTTCCACATTTCCCTAATTTTTATTTTTTATTATTTTTTTTTAATGTTCATCCATTCTTTGTCCAGGCTCAGGCTTCTTTCTATACGCTTAGGGTGAATTCCCTTTCCAAGTAACTTACCTTCCTTTTTTTTTTTTTTTAATTGCACTAGCCCTATAGAAAGGCCAATTTTCCCTTATGCACAAAGACTAACTCCAATCACTGGCAGAGGAGGGAGTCTCTCCCAGTCCTAAGTCTTCTAACTTTCTTTTTAGTAAATATTCACTAAGTACTTTGCACAGTGTTGGAGGTCAAACTTGGGCTTAGCTCCTAGCTCTACCCCTTTTTTCTGGTCATGCAAACTCTCAATCTCTCTACTTCTTCAACTATAAGATGGTGGTTAGTAATAGTACCTACCTCGGGGGGTTGTTTTGGAGATTAAATGAGATGATACATGAAACTGTGAGGAGCGGGGTGTGCAGTGTAAGCCACGTGTCGTCAGTCAGTACGGATGGAAATCTTTAGGCCCCACCCGTGGCCCTGTACTGCGGGTTCTGAATGTATGCACGAAAGCACCTCTTTGAAACAGGAATATGACACAGGGTGAAGGGAACAGGTGAAAGGGCAGCTGTAAATAAGCAGAGCGAGCGAGATGCACCCGGGCGAAGCCACATCACCGGCCCCGGAGCGGGTCTTTGCCCGAAGCCGGCAACTTCAAAGGCAAGCTGCCCGGAAATGCAACCTCCTCCTCTCACGTTAATACGGCCGGGAAAAGGGGCCCGGAAATTCAAATTCAGGTTTTAAAATCCACTGCGTACAGACAGCGATGCGCATATCGTTTTACAGACATAGGGCCGCGTGCAACTCGTGGAACTCGGGGCCCGACACGTTTAGGTGAATTTCCATTGCATTTCCTTCCCAAGGAAGGCCGGGTCCCAGGCGATGGATTTATAAAACACCAACAAACTCGTCGGCTGGAAGTGAACGAACCCCCGGGAAATCGGAGTGACTGCTATTGAACAAATAGTTAACACAACTAAGACGGTTCTTGCGTCCTAAGTGCACGGCGCACTCACCACGTCACTGTCTCGTTTACGCTCAAGGCCCCCCCCCCGGGCGCTGCGGTCCGGCCCTGCTGGCCCTGCGGCTCCTACCACACACCAGGCACCTAAGCGCCGTCGCCGGTTCCCTGTGTCTCGAGTCTAGTT